TGGTTTAGTCAGTAGAGCGTATGATTCTCAATCTCAGTGTTGTGAGTTTGAGCCCCATGATGGGTGTAGAGACTACTTAAAAATAAAGTCTTGAGGGGAGGCACCTGGGTGGCTTAGTACGTTAAGTGTCTGCCTTCAGTCCTGGAATTGAGCCCATATCAAGCTCCTGTTCAATGGAGAGTCCACTTTTCCCTCTCCCTCTGCCTCTCCCCCAGCTTGTGCTCTCTTTCTCCCTCTCTCGTGCTCACTCATTCTCTCTCAGATAAATAAATAAATAAATAAATAAATAAATAAATAAATAAATAAATAAATAAATAAATAAATAAATAAAATCTTTTAAAAAATAAAAAACAAAATCTTGGGTGCCTTAGGCAGCTCAGTTAGTTGAGCATATGACTCTTGAGCTCAGCTCAGGTCTTGATCTCAGGGTCATGAGTTCAAGCCCTGCATTGGACTCCATGTCAGGCATGGAGTCTAATATATATATTATTTATATATATAATATTATATATTATATATAATAATATATTATTTATATATATAATTTTATATATATATATATATATATATATATATATATATATACACACTAAGTTAAGTTAAATTTTCAAAAAATAAAATAAAATCTTAAAGGGGCATCTGGCCTGGCTGACTCAGTTGGAAGAACATCTGACTCTTGATTTCGGGGTTGTAAGTTTGAGTCTCACCCTGGGTGTTGAGATTACTTAAATAAGTTTTATTATTATTTTTTTTAATTTTTTTTTTAATTTATGATAGTCACAGAGAGAGAGAGAAAGAGGCAGAGACACAGGCAGAGGGAGAAGCAGGCTCCATGCACCGGGAGCCCGATGTGGGATTTGATCCCGGGTCGCCAGGATCGCGCCCTGGGCCAAAGGCAGGCGCCAAACCACTGTGCCACCCAGGGATCCCCTGTTTTATTATTATTTTTAAAGATTTTATTTATTTATTCATGAGAATACAGAGAGGAGAGAGGGAGAGGCAGAGACACAAGCAGATGGAGAAGCAGGCTCCCTGTAGGGAGCCCGACGCGGGACTCAATCCCAGGTCTCCAGGATCAGGCCCTGGGCTGAAGGCAGCACCAAACCGCTGAGCTACCAGGGCTGCCCTTAAGTAAGTTTTAAATAAACTTTAAAAGGGGACACTTAATCCGTTGCCTTCAGCTCAAGTCATGATCTTAGGGTCCTGGGTTTGAGCCCCACATCGGGCACCCTTCTCAGCAGGGAGTCTGCTTCTCCCTCTCCCTCTGCCCCTCCCCCACTCCAGCTCTCTCTCTCTCTCTCTCTCTCTCTCTCTCTCTCTCTCTCTCTCTCAAATTAAAAAAAAATTTTTTTTTAAGAAAAACCCACTAGGAAAATCCTAAAAAAAAAAAAAAAAGACAGTAACACGCGTTAGCGAGATGTGGAGACACTGGAACGGTCATATATTGCTGTTGGTGTAGCTTCTTTGAAAAAGTCTGGAAGTTCCTCAAAAGGTTAAACACAGAGAATCCTATGACCCAGTAATTTCACTCTAAGGTTTGCACTCAAAAGAACTGGAAGTATGTCCACACAAAACCTTATACAAAAATGTTCTTAGCAGTATGAATACATAACAGGCAAAAAGTGCAAAATAACTCAAATGTTGATCAACTGATGACTAGATAGGGTATAGTAAATTTGTACAATGGATTATTAATCTGTAATAAAAGGAATAAAGTGCTGATACATGTTACTACATAGATAAACCTCAAAAAAAAAAAAGTTAAGTGAAGGAAGCCAGTCCAAAAGACCATACACTATTCTATTCTATTTATACTTCTATTTATATGAAAAATCCTAAATAGGTAAATCCATAGATATAGAAAGTAGATTAGTGGTCTCCAAGGGCTGAGGACTAGGGAAGGGGGGAATCACAGCTAAGGGTATGGGGTTTCTCCTGGGGATGATTAAATATTCTAAAATTAAATTGTGTTGCTAGTATACAACTCTGTAAGTATACTAAACCATTTAATTATAAACTGCGGGGGCACCTGAGTGGCTCAGTGGTTGAGCGTCTGCCTTTGACTCAGGTTATGATCCCAGGGTCCTGGAATCAAGTCCCATAGCAGGCTCCTCACAAGGAACCTACTTCTCTCTCTGCCTATGTCTTTGTCTCTGTGTCTCTCATGTAACCTAAATAAAATCTTCTTTTTTTTTTTTTTAAGATTTTATTTATTTATTCACAAGAGACACACACAGAGAGAGAGAGGCAGAGACACAGGCAGAGGGAGGAGCAGGCTCCATGTAGGGAGCCCAATGTGGGACTCGACCCCGGGACTCCAGGACCATGCCCTGGGCTGAAGGCAGGCTCTAAACCACTGAGCCACCCAGGGATCCCCTAAATAAAATCTTTAAAAAAAATTATAAACTTTAGGTATATTTTACTTTTTGAAATACAGCTCTATAAATTAGAAGGGAGAGGAGGAGGGGGAAGGGAAGAGGTCGGAGCTACTATAACTTTGTTACTGTTTTAAGAGTTGGGAATAAGGGATCCCTGGGTGGCGCAGCGGTTTGGCGCCTGCCTTTGGCCCAGGGCGCGATCCTGGAGACCCGGGATCGAATCCCACGTCGGGCTCCCGGTGCATGGAGCCTGCTTCTCCCTCTGCCTGTGTCTCTGCCTCTCTCTCTCTCTCTCTCTGTGACTATCGTAAATAAATAAATAAAAAGCCTTTAAAAAAAATTTAAAAAAAAAAAAAAAGAGTTGGGAATAAGAGTTTCAGAGTCACAAAGGATTTTCATGCAAACTTGTAAATGCCTTCATATTCTTTAAATCTACTACTCACTTAACTTTATTTGCTTTAATTTCAACAAGCACACAAAGGCATGTAGGAAATTTGCTTAACAGATACGCAAAATCTGAGGCTAGCAGTGAGCCTCAGATTGCCATGGGTTTTGTGTTTTTGTAATTTCGTCACAGATTATTTGATGGCAGAGACTGGTAGTTTTATCTTTGAATCATTGTACCCAATACAGAATGTGGTACATACTAGGGCTCAATAAATGCTGAATAAATAAGGTAGACCTCGGTAATACTGGAGACCAAACAAGAAAATGGTCTAAGCATGTAAATTTTAAAGATTTATGACATTCCAGGGGGAAAAAAGAAGATATAAAACCTATGCTTTAAATTTTATTTTTTGAATTATAATAATGAAAATAATTCTTTAAAAAGATACAATTGTTCTGTTTATTAGCAAAAGCAAAAGTTGATCTCAAAGATTCTTCTGTAGCACAAAATAGGAAGCAGCAGAGCTTAGGAGTTAATACTGTCTTTGGAATCCTTCATTTAACAAATGTTTACAAAGTATCTGCAATGAGCCAGACCCTGGTTTATGTACTAGGAAAACTACAACAAACAGGATCCTGCTTGTAGGAACATTTAATTTTATGTAGGTAGACATTATAAGCAAATCAGTAAGGTTGCTCAAGATAGTGATAAGTTTTATTTAAAAAAAATTAAATGAATATAAGAATAAAGTGATTGAAAACATAGCTTTAGATTCAGTGGTCAAGGAGGATTCATTTGATGATCCTGTTGAAGAAACCTCCCCCCTTGTAAGTAGGGCCAGCCCTAATCCAGAGGCAGCCCATCCAGTCTTCTTCCTGAAATTTTAGCAACTAAAAGCATTCCGTTTACAATAAGAAAACCGTTCCCCCCCCCACACACCCTGACTGGAATGTCCCTGAATAGGTTCATGTTGACCCTCCCCGAAATCAACCTGGATGCTACGCGACTCCCGCGGTTCTTTTGTCTTTAGGCAGTTTCTTTCCTTTTAAAAGATACCTGTAACTGCTAATCGGGGCTCTTTTCCTCCTCGGAGGCGGAGAGCCCGTTTGCGCAAACGTTCAATAAACCCTCTTGCTGATTGCATCTGCCTGTCTGGGGTCTGAGTCACCCGTGAGCCAGGGTCCAACACTGTAATTATCTTTACAATTGTAAATGTCTTCTCAAAAGACACATTAACTTCAATACCCCAATGTGTAAAATCAGATGTAAACCAGGTACGATGTGGAACAATGTATATAAAACCATCTAACAAGGGATGCCTGGGTGGTTCAGTGGTTGAGCATCTGTCTTTGGCTTAGGGCATGATCCAGGGGTCCTGGGATCAAGTCCCACATTGTGCTCCTCCTAGGGAGCCTGCTTCTCCCTCTGCCTATGTTTCTGCCTCTCTCTCTCTGTGTCTCTCATGAATAGACAAATAAAATCTTAAAAAAAAAACAAAACAACTAAACCATCTAACAAAATAGTTCTTCTCAACCTGAAAAGAACAATAGAAATTATCCTCTCTCCTACTGTTTTTTCTGTGGGACCCAGGAAATTTAACAAAAATCCCCTACCCTACAAGCAGAGCAGGACTAACTCCATTTTGTGCTACACCCGCCACCTCCTATATGACCCTCACATGACCTGCTTATTGCTTAAGGCGCTGCCCCACCCTAGTCAAGCCGCTGGGCACACCCTAATCGGAAATCATAACAATGTAACCCTGCCTTGTGCCCGCCAAAACTGCGCGCCGATTCTGACCACAGTACTAGGCCAGCTCAAGTGGATACTAGAGGCTAAGGTGTAATTTAATCAGCCACCTGCGTGTGGACAGGCATGACTGTGCAACTATCTGCGTATCCCATGGGCCACTGGCCCCTATAAAGCTGCTACACCTCTTAGTCTCTGGGTCCAAGTCCCTGCTGCGCTGCGTCGGGTATATCTGGACCCAGGCTCGAGCTAGTAAATAAACCCTCGTGTGTTTGCATCGGTGTCGGCTCCTTGGTGGTTTCTCGGATTCACAATCTTGGGCACAACATTTTCATCTGAGAATGAAGTGTGTCAAAGAATAAAGCATAATCTCTACTACAGGTATTTATAAAATAGTCTATCCATAACTTTCAGAAACTTACTATACACAAGTCATGGAAAAAATACAGAATGAGAAAAGTTTAAGGCATCAAGAGCCCACTAACCTTAATCCATTGAACAGCTGCTTAGACTTATCCAGAAGGTAACAAAAATCCGTAACTGTTTTTCTCTCTCCTTGTGGGATATCATCTTCAGCACCTCCAGAGGACATGATTTCTTTAAGCGCAAATTCAGTCCTGTAAGAAAACATATGTCCAATCATCTAGTGGGTGAAAATAAAAAAGAGAACCTTAGTTATATCATCTGATAGTATTTTTTTTAAAGATAGATATAGAATTCTTCTGATCACAGTCACATCATCAGAATAATGTAAGTACAAGATGGTGTGGGAATACAGACAATCTCATACTCACTAAGAATGAAAATTGGGGGGCACCTGAGTGGGTCAGTGGTTAAGTATCTGCCTTCGGCACAGGTTATGATCCCGGGGTCCTGGGATGGAGCTCCTCACTGAGCTCCCTGTCAGCAGGAAGTCGGCTTCTCCCTCTGTCTCTGTCTGCCACTCTGCCTACTTATGCGTTCTCTCTCTTTGTGTCAAATAAATAAAATATTAAAAAAAAAGGGGGGAATGAAAATTGGTACATCCATTGTAAAGTAATTTTTGTAATATTTGTTCATCCAGTAAGCATTATTTGGATGCCTATTATGTTCCAAGTACTCCTTTATATGGTTAAGAATAAAAAATGCTGATCCTTTTGACCTGTTTGATCCATTCTGTAAATCCATCCTAGAAAATGATCTATAAATGTAAAACACTATATCTACAAAGATTTATTTTAGTATCATAATATTTAAAAATTTGTAACAACCTAAAAGAACCAAGAAGGGCAATTACCAAGTACTTATAGGATCACCTGGGTGACTCAAGTCAGTTAAGCATCTGACTCTTGGTTTCAGCTCAGGTCATGGTCTCAGGGTCGTGAGATGCAGCCCCATGTCAGGCTCCTTGCTCAGAGCACAGTCAGCCTGAGATTCTCTCCCTCCCCTTCCACCTCTCCTGCTTAAGAGCTCTCTCTCATAAATAAATAAATAAATAAATAAATAAATAAATAAATAAATAAATAAATAAATAAATAAATAAAATATTTTTTTTGAAAAGTGCTTCACAGAACACTAACAATTGCACTCTAACTAACTTAAAATTATATTTAAGATAAGGTGATACTATACAGACACTTCAGTGTAAAAGGGATATAGAAACCCAAAATACAAAAATACACAAATACACATATATATTAAAGCTGTATTTTATTAAGTCCAAACTATTTTCATATGCAATCAATCATGGTAATCAGCCATTTTAAAAACAGCAAGTTGCTGGACAGTATTTATAGTATGAACCTATACTAAACAAAAAAAATTCATTTGTGCTTCCATATGGACAGAAATTCCTGGAACAACATAGAGAAGTCTGGTCCCAATATAGGATGAAAATACAGGCAGAGCAGACAAGAGCCAGACAGCAGAGATGACAGTTAGGGTGTGGTGCAAGTTATTTTGGTAAATATTTTTCTCTCCAACATTTTCTTTAACAGGCAATTGTGGTTACAGGGCAGGAAGATTGTCAGCCCCTAAAAATGTCAATGGGCTGCAGAGTAACAAGTGGGTGCCATAGAGCCAGCTGGTCGGGACTTGCACAGATGGACTGGATGGTCCTTCTATGTTCAAATGCTCCCTCTTCTCACCACTACTTTTTGTGCTTGGTGGGGTAGGAGTTTTTAACAGAGGGAAACAGACCTTGAAAAATGCTGGGCCTTGGAAGGGGTTTCACACACTGTAATGATCCCGGGTAAGTCCTCTACTCCAACCCAATGCTCACCTTCATTCTCTAAACCCAGTAGGAGAGGCACAAACTAGGCACAAAGCTGCCTGTAGCTTTCTTTACCCACCTCAAATATCTCATGAGCCAGAGTGACTAATATCCTCAGGACACAGGAGAAAAATAGAAAATAAAAGCTTAAAAATAAACAAACTTGAGAGCCCAGTTGGCTCAGTCGGGAGACCAGGTGACTCTTGATTTCAGGGTTGTATGTTCGAGCCCCACGTTGGGTGTAGAGATAATTAAAAAATAAAATCCTAAAAAATAACTTAAGGAAAGATATTAGAGATAAAGCAGGAAGAAAATATCATAATGAACAAATAAAAATACTGGGCATGAGAAGTATAGTGACTGAAATAAACTTAATGGGTAAATGGATTGAAGAGTAGAAAGGATAGAGTTGAATGAATTAATAAGCTAAAATATCAGGCTTAAGGTACTTTGCCACAAGACATCAAGAAGAGATAAAAATCAAGAGATTCGGAATAGAGAAATGAAGGAAATCAACTTCCACATAATAGTATACATAGATGGGAAAAAATACTTGGAGATGATAAAAATATTTTCAAAAAGAAACTTCCATAAGCCTCTGAGACTTAGAGAAAATATAAGGCCTCAAACTAAAAGGGCTCAAAGAATGTTAAAACAACAAGAAAAGATAAATAATCCCACAGCTAGAAACATTAAAATGAAGCAAGAATTCCAGAGGAGCCCTCGCCCCTTCCTGAACAATACAATCCCACAACCACTTGGTGGGACACAGCACAGTAGGTGTCCACACAGAGGGCACAGACTGTGAGGAGACCATCCACATGCACACAAAGGGCCAGTTTGCCTGCAATGTTGGAACCTGAGTGTGGTGAGAAGAGTATCTTCACATGGAACAGTTTGGAGGCCACAACAGGAGATTTGTCATATAGAGGAGGGTTATACAGGAAGAAATAACAAAATCAACTAAGGACAATGGGACCCAGAGTTATCTCTATAATAGACGAGAAATATGAAAAGAGAAAGAATAAGCCCTATGGAAGGTATGCGTGAACTAATGGATTTTTTTAAGAATATAGACATAAATGGATGTGCAGTATGTGTGTCTGTGTGTGTACACATAAGCATACACACATACATACACCCTAGCTCAGTAAATCTGTCTACTGAGAAGGCCTTAGAGCAGTAACTACCTCTACTTCCCAGTGGTATGAACATACCAGTTCCTAAATCTTGGCTTTTAATACCACATTCTAATAAAGAGAATCATAGCCCGGGAGAGTCCCACGTCGGGCTCCCTGCATGGAGCCTGCTTCTCCCTCTGCCTGTGTCTCTGCCTCTCTGTCTCTCTCTCTCTGTGTGTCTCTATGAATAAATAAATAAAATCTTTAAGAAAAATAAAGGGAATTATATATATATATACACACATATATACATATATATATATATGTCTAACAGAACCTATGTATATTTACAAAAATACAATATATGTGGGACCCAGGAAATTTAACAAAAATCCCCTACCCCTGGACAAGCAGAGCAGGACTGATTCCATTTTGTGCTGCACCTGCCACCTCCTGTGTGACCCCCACATAACCTGCTTATTGCTTAAGGCGCAGCCCCACCCTAGTCAAGCCGCTGGGCACACCCTAATTGGAAATCGGCTCATAACAATGTAACCCTGCTTTGTGCCCGCCAAAACTGTGCGCCAATTCTGACCAAAGTAACAGGCCAGCTCAAATGGATACTATAGGGTAAGGTGTAATTCAATCGGCCACCTGCGTGTGGACCGACATGACTGTGCAACTTTCTGTGTATCCCATGGGCCACTGGCCCCTATAAAGCTGCTACTGCCTCTTAGTCTCGGGGTCCAAGTCCCTGCTCCACTGTGTCGGGTGCACTTGGACCCAAGCTCGAGCTTGTAAATAAACCCTCATGTGTTTTCATCGGTGTCGGCTCCTTGGTGGTTTCTTGGATTCGCAATCTTGGGCACAACATCTGGGGGCTCATCTGGGATCCGAGAGACTCCCAGGACCCTATCTGGAGGGTTTCATGCGTGGTGAGTGCACTCAACTTTTTCTACCTTTTGCGCGCATATTTCTGAGAGCTCTAACCTGGAGGAATTCCAATCTGTATTAGGTCGGCATTGGCTTAAGCGGACGCGCTGGCAGGCCGTCAAGCGAGGGTCTTGAGGAGAGGTCCCTTGCCCCCACCAGGAGGACGGGGTCCTCACCTGTAAGGAGGACGGGCTGCCAGCCCTTCGGGTTGCTTTCTGTTTTGTCTCTGCAGCCACACTGGAACGTTTGTCTGTGTTACTATGTCCTTGTTAACTTTTTTCGCATTTGTCTGTGTTATTGTGTCCTTGTTAATTGTCTTTACTGTCTGTGTCTTGGTGTGGATTGGGGACATAACGGGGGAGACAGAAACCACTTCCCTGTCTCTTATGCTCTCCCACTTCTCAGATGCTAGGGAAAGAGCTCGTATTCTGAGCATAGACATACAGAGAGAGATTCCGAATTTATTGCATATCAGAATGGCCAACCTTTGACGTGGGATGGCCCTGAGAAGGAACTTTTCACCTACCTATTATCTTACAGGTTAAGGCCGTGATCTGCAGGGACAAACTGGACGGCCACTCTGACCAGGTGCCCTACATCCTGATCTGGCAGGACATGATCGAGAATCCCCCTCTTTGGCTAAAACCATTTTTACCCCCCAAAGCAGGACCCACTGAGATTCTAGCCCTGCGGAAAGCCGAGAAGGAGACCAACTCTACGCCCCAAGCGCCCCTTTATCCTCAGGTCCCCAGAGGACCTGATTCTCCCGCTGCCCTACCAGGCACCCCCTCCCCCTTCTGCCCCTCCATTGGAGACACCGGGGGCTGCAGAAGGGGCGCCACCCCTCCCTGACGAGGGAGTCCCTGTGCACGGGCCAGCAGCGGGGACACGCAGTCGGACCCAGCGGACGGCCCCACCTCTGAATGCGGGGCCAGCCGACTCCACCGCCCTTCCTCTCCGTGCCATGGGGCCCCCCGATGAGACTGACGAACAGCTAATGTTATACTGGCCGTTCTCCACCAGTGATTTATATAATTGGAAAACCCAAAATGCAAAGTTCTCTCATAATCCGAGACATTTAATCGGGCTTTTAGATACTGTTCTCTTTACCCACCAGCCCACTTGGGATGACTGCCAACAGCTCTTGCAGGTTCCCTTCACCACCGAGGAGAGAGAACGAATTCAGGTGGAAGCCCGGAAGTCTGTCCTGGGAGAGGACAGACAGCCGACTCAAAACCCAGACCTCATAAATGCTGCCTTCCCTTTATCCCGCCCCACCTGGGACTACAACTCAGCTGAAGGTAAGGAGAGA